GTTTCCCCCCTCCGCTGGGTTCCAGTCCTCAATAGAGTAATCACTTGGCTTAGTCCTGCACCTGACCCTGTATAGGAATAAACTCCCCCCTGTGAGATTCAGGAGTAGGGCCGGGACATTGCCACGCAGAGTAAGATTTGACCTCCGGCCTCTGTAGTGAGGAGCCGGAACGCGGCTTCTAGTCCTTGTCCATACGCGGCACACATACCGCTGCGGGTCGTGGGGCTGGCGGTGGTTGCGGGATGACGGACCTTCATGTATTGTACTAGATGAGCTCCATGAACCCCGACACACACTATAGGAGCCCCCCGATGCCACTGAACCCCCGACACACACTATAGGAGCCCCCCGATGCCACTGAACCCCCGACACACACTATAGGAGCCCCCCGATGCCACTGAACCCCCGACACACACTATAGGAGCCCCCCGATGCCACTGAACCCCCGACACACACTATAGGAGCCCCCCGATGCCACTGAACCCCCGACACACACTATAGGAGCCCCCCGATGCCACTGAACCCCCGACACACACTATAGGAGCCCCCCGATGCCACTGAACCCCCGACACACACTATAGGAGCCCCCCGATGCCACTGAACCCCCGACACACACTATAGGAGCCCCCCGATGCCACTGAACCCCCGACACACACTATAGGAGCCCCCCGATGCCACTGAACCCCCGACACACACTATAGGAGCCCCCCGATGCCACTGAACCCCCGACACACACTATAGGAGCCCCCCGATGCCACTGAACCCCCGACACACACTATAGGAGCCCCCCGATGCCACTGAACCCCCGACACACACTATAGGAGCCCCCCGATGCCACTGAACCCCCGACACACACTATAGGAGCCCCCCGATGCCACTGAACCCCCGACACACACTATAGGAGCCCCCCGATGCCACTGAACCCCCGACACACACTATAGGAGCCCCCCGATGCCACTGAACCCCCGACACACACTATAGGAGCCCCCCGATGCCACTGAACCCCCGACACACACTATAGGAGCCCCCCGATGCCACTGAACCCCCGACACACACTATAGGAGCCCCCCGATGCCACTGAACCCCCGACACACACTATAGGAGCCCCCCGATGCCACTGAACCCCCGACACACACTATAGGAGCCCCCCGATGCCACTGAACCCCCGACACACACTATAGGAGCCCCCCGATGCCACTGAACCCCCGACACACACTATAGGAGCCCCCCGATGCCACTGAACCCCCGACACACACTATAGGAGCCCCCCGATGCCACTGAACCCCCGACACACACTATAGGAGCCCCCCGATGCCACTGAACCCCCGACACACACTATAGGAGCCCCCCGATGCCACTGAACCCCCGACACACACTATAGGAGCCCCCCGATGCCACTGAACCCCCGACACACACTATAGGAGCCCCCCGATGCCACTGAACCCCCGACACACACTATAGGAGCCCCCCGATGCCACTGAACCCCCGACACACACTATAGGAGCCCCCCGATGCCACTGAACCCCCGACACACACTATAGGAGCCCCCCGATGCCACTGAACCCCCGACACACACTATAGGAGCCCCCCGATGCCACTGAACCCCCGACACACACTATAGGAGCCCCCCGATGCCACTGAACCCCCGACACACACTATAGGAGCCCCCCGATGCCACTGAACCCCCGACACACACTATAGGAGCCCCCCGATGCCACTGAACCCCCGACACACACTATAGGAGCCCCCCGATGCCACTGAACCCCCGACACACACTATAGGAGCCCCCCGATGCCACTGAACCCCCGACACACACTATAGGAGCCCCCCGATGCCACTGAACCCCCGACACACACTATAGGAGCCCCCCGATGCCACTGAACCCCCGACACACACTATAGGAGCCCCCCGATGCCACTGAACCCCCGACACACACTATAGGAGCCCCCCGATGCCACTGAACCCCCGACACACACTATAGGAGCCCCCCGATGCCACTGAACCCCCGACACACACTATAGGAGCCCCCCGATGCCACTGAACCCCCGACACACACTATAGGAGCCCCCCGATGCCACTGAACCCCCGACACACACTATAGGAGCCCCCCGATGCCACTGAACCCCCGACACACACTATAGGAGCCCCCCGATGCCACTGAACCCCCGACACACACTATAGGAGCCCCCCGATGCCACTGAACCCCCGACACACACTATAGGAGCCCCCCGATGCCACTGAACCCCCGACACACACTATAGGAGCCCCCCGATGCCACTGAACCCCCGACACACACTATAGGAGCCCCCCGATGCCACTGAACCCCCGACACACACTATAGGAGCCCCCCGATGCCACTGAACCCCCGACACACACTATAGGAGCCCCCCGATGCCACTGAACCCCGGCTGAGCGGCTCGCTTACAGTATATAACATTTGTTTATTGCCGCGTCCAGCCAAAACCCGACCGCGTACGGGATGATGGCGCCGCTCGCATGCGGTTCTCTGACAGCCGATGTAATCCCGATCCTTCACCTTTCACAACAGGAGGTTCTGAACATGCTGAAGGAAAGCAAAGCGGATATATTTGTGGATCCCGTGCTGCACACGGCCTGCGCGCTCGACATCAAACATCACTGCGCCGCCATCCCGCCAGGAAAAGGACGCCGTAAGTAACGCCCCCAAACTCTGGCCTCGTTAACCCCGCATGTGCGCCGGCATATCAGTATGTTTCCTGTTGCAGAGATGTCCTGCTTGATCGAAGCGTTACAAGACAAGATGGTGCGACTGCAGCCCGAGTGTAAGAAGAGACTGCAGGACCGGCTGGACATGTGGAGCTACGCGGCTAAGGTGAGGCGGGCAGTGCACATCACCGCGGTAAAGGAAACACTTCCTGTGCTTGTGTGCAACGGGAAGCAGTCCCCTATACACTGGCTGGAACTCCAACTTCCTCCGGCTGTAAAGTGCAGGCCGCATGCAGAAAGCTGTGGCGCATCCCAGGCACCCCTTTAGCTGTGTGTGTAGACTGGGCCAATGAACTGAGATTACCCGTCTATGGCCTGGCACCCCTTTAGCTGTGTGTGTAGACTGGGCCGGGCCAATGAACTGAGATTACCCGTCTATGGCCTGGCACCCCTTTAGCTGTTCAGACTGCGGTCCTGGCTGGGAGCGTCCATGCACAGGTGGCTACACCAGAGCTCCAGGGAGACCCCACAAGGCAGCGTAGCCACCCCATAAGAGTAAGTGTAGTGGGCAATATTTTTGTTAGTAGATCTTCTGTTTGCGTGGAGCAAACTGGGAAGATAATAACTGAGCTCACCGCCTGACATTACCAAGCGCTCGACCCTTCCAGTCCCGGGGCGGGCCTCACTAGTCTGCTTTGTGTAAGTACCAGAATCTTGAACCGACATCGGGCTCCCGATACCCCTGTACTGCAGATCTCCGAGAGGAAAGGAGCAGCAGTGCAAAGCCAAGCGGCACAATGGTAGGAGGAGAGAGCAGAGAGATGAGCTCATCCGTCCGCTGTTTCTCCTTTCATTGTCCAGTGACGGGCTGGGGGGAGGGGAAACGTCTTGTAACTGCAGCAAAAGAAATAACAGAAAACGGATCTTCTTCTCCTTCCTTCCAGGTGGCCCCGGCCGACGGCTTCTCCGACTTGGCCGTGCAGGTGATGAGTTCCCCGTCCAAGAATTACATCTTGTCGGTCATCATGGTCGGCGTGTGCGTTCTCTTCTTCGGAGGCCTGCTGTGCGGTCGCATCACCAAGAGGGTGACAAGAGAAATGAAGGACAGGTAGAGCATCGGACCCGCCCCCTCCTACACCTCTCGGCAAGAGCTCTGAGAAGCGGGGGCTTCAGGGGAGGGAGGGCAGGCCTGTCGCCTCGTGTACAGCTCCTCCCACGCAGTCCAATCCCATCTTCCTCTTCCTCCCCCGGCTCCTTCCAGCGCTGTGGA